AAAAAAAAAAAAAAAGCTTAATAATTCTAATCACAACAGCTACACATTATCTTCATTATTGACATATTTAACTCTTGTCAATTAACAGCATCTTCTATATATTTTAAGAAGAATGTTAGGAGTTGGGTCCTATACAAGGCCCTGGATTCAATCTATAGCTTCCTGCCCAAGTGGTAAATTATGAAGTTTTCCAAATTATTAGATTGAATTCTTTACACTCATCTCCTAATGTAAATTTATGAGCACAGACACACAAGGATGTAGCAAGTAAAAAAATCATGACAAAGAAAAATGGGTAACTAGAAGAATGTCACTGAGAAGGGACAGAATTAAATACAATTTGCTTTAAATCTGGGGAAAATTCCTGAAAAAACATTCCCATACTACATAGAAACCAGTAATTTAAAATTTAAAAGTCTCTGGAAAACTAGAATAAAGCCTTTGAACAAGAATTAAGTCAGTGCTTGTGTTTGTCCAGATCCTATGCTTGTCTAAAATGGATATTAATGCTACATAGAAACATAATATGACATACAGTTTTTAAAACAAAATATTCACATTTTCAGCTGTGTAACAAATGCATAAGATCAAATATTTAAACCATGTTAGAATAACTAAAATATAAAATTTTATTTTGTTTCAAAATAGTCTTTCTTTGTGATACCACCTTGTTTTTACTTGAAAAGTAATAATCAATAAATTTAGCCATCCACATTAAATTTCCTCAAATTATTGTTTTAAAATATTGTATTTATCATTTAAATTGGAAATTTAACAATTCAGCAATTGTCAAATAACTCTGGCAACATATCCAGATTAGGGTATCGAAAACAAATCTTTAGCTTTCAACCAAGAGCTTCTTTAGAAACTGAATAGGCCTTTCATTTTTATCACATATTGCGAAACAAGGTCACTGGATGAAAGACTGTTAGAAAATTTAAACTACTTTCCCAGCAGGCTTGGATATTTTCTTATATATTTTATATTCACTGTAAGAGTTAGCATTAAATGGAAAATAATTTTTAAACTCTTTGATATTTAATTCTTCTTAAAGACAGCACAAAGAAGACTTAAAGCTGTTTGTGTCCTTTTATTTACCCTTGAATTCTGCCTGGTTTTATTATGGCTGTGTAAATAAAAGAAACAATTTTCTCCCAAAGATAACTGCTTAAGTCATTTACTGTCAATTACTTTATCTTTCCTGCGTTAATTAGATAAATAACATATGGGGTTTATAAAACAATTAGCTGGGAGTTTTACTAGCCAGTGTGTGAAAACTCAAGCATAATTGATATAGGAACTGCATTAGGTGCTTTTAGCATTACTGCCACCTGAGCAACTCATCCTGAATTTCAGCAGAATTATTTGCCTTTTTAATCAAGGTGAAGAGGTTAAATAGTCTCTCAAATGACTTTTGCATACAACCCATAACAGGCTTCGCACTGAGATAACATGATACAAATATTTATCCCCATAGAAACAGAACTACGTCTTCTATACCTGTTTTAGTCTTCTCCATTTAGCGCGTCGATTCTGAAACCAGGTTTTAACCTACAGGAAAGAGAAAGAAAATTTAGCAAGAGCCCAGAATCTCGAAAAAACCTGGTAGAAGGGGAGAAGCAGACTGGGGAGCCAAGCAACCCTTCAAAGGTGAGAGCCTCGAGCGCAGCATGGTTTCCCGCATTCTGCCACCCCGGTCCGGGTGACCCTAGCAGCAGGCCTCCGCCCAGGCCCAGAGCGCTCACCTGCCTCTCGCTAAGCTGCAGCATCTTGGCCAGACGCTTCCGCTCAGGCGGGGAGAGGTATTTCTGTGTTTCAAATTTTTTCTCCAGCTCGATGGTCTGGTCGTTGGAGAACCTCACCTGGCCGCCTTTCCTTTTATGTAGAGGCCTCTGCAAGAAGGGACTCCAGAGCACCGGTTTGCCTAAGCGCAACGAGAGACGCGGTTAGCCAACGGCCCCGGAGCTGGAGAAGGTCAGGCCACCCCCAGATCAACCTGCGGTGGGGTGATGGAAGGAGGGAGGGAAGGAGCAGCCGCAGGAAGCCTCTCGCCCTGACCTACTCACTCACGTCCCCAGGAGGGGGCCAGGTGCTCCCATCAGCACATACTGAGAGACACTATGCGAACAGCTGAGGTTGCACGGCCACACTGCGTGCACAGAGAACACCGGGACACAACCATCACACCTATGACTAGATTAGAGCGCAAATCCTTTCAAGCCCACTGCCGGCTGGACTTAAAACATCAAGACAGCTCTCTCAATAATTAGTCTGGAAATCATGCTGAACTTTGTGTACCCCTCCGTCGTGTCCCTTGCTGAAATGCATTTCCAGGGACACCGGGGAGTGCGTGCTGGGGAGGAGCGGGGCTGCCACAGCACCCTCAGCCTGGCAGTGCAGCGGCGCTGGGGCCGAAGCCGCGCTAGGCCGAGGCTTCCAATCCTGGCCCGAGGGCGCCGCGCCTCCTCTGATTTCACACCCGGCCCGCGGGGGCGGCCAGCTAAAGCCACCACATAGACTATGGCAACATTTCCGTCAATGTGTTTCCTGTTGGTCTATCTCGAAAAACCCTTTGCTTCCTCCTGCGCAGTCCCAGAAGTAACCCAAGGAAACCCAGGGCGCGCTCTGTGAAAACGTTCGTTCATCCTCACGCCTGGCCCGGCTGAGGGTCCCGCGCCCGCCCCTTGAGGCGACAAAGCCACAGGGGCCGTGACACGAAACCCAGGAGGCTGGGATAAAAAGTACAAATATAATAAATAGCCTTTTTAGACAATGTAACTCACACATCCCAAATCTTGTTAGCGTCGAGAAGCCAAGGTGGACTGAGCTAAAGACCCCACCATTATAATGCCAACCAAGCTGCCAAAAAGAGTTGATTTAAAACCCTGGTGGACCAGAGGAAGTTTCCCATTTCCTTAACTACCCTAGGGCTTCAGATCTTTGGGGGGGGAGGGGGGTAAGGGCCACCAGAGTGTAGACACTGGTGACTTATTTCTTAGGCCCTGCAAGGATGCGACAAGTCCCTTAACTCCCCAGTACGTGCTTGCTGCGCTGCCCTTGCTAACTGGTGCACAGGGTCTGCATTTTGCGGTTCTAAAAAGGTATCTGTCAGTCCGTCCGTCCGTTTGTCTGTAGGCCTGCACCTAAGTGCTGTGAAAGCTGGCATTGTTTTTTCGAGATTTTGCTTGCGTCAGGCTTCAGACTTGTGCAAAACAGCCTCGAAAAAAAAAAAGGAAGCAACTGGTTATTTTAGCTGCCATAAAGTCACATCCCACACAGAGGAAATGAACAATATCAGAAAAACGGATCCTGGCTATCAGAAGTCGAGTGTTTCCTGAATTTGTCTGTATTGAGGATGTCGATAAAATAATCAGCAGCGTGCACTACTCCCGGGGAAGGGTCTGCTTCATGCAGCCAGGAAAACACTTAACAGCTTCTGAAACCAGATTTACTCCTATCGAGAACTCAAGATTTCCTGTATGAACGGAAAGGGTCAGGCTCTTTCACTGCACAAGCTTGTTGAACCAAGTCCAACCCTGTAACTGCCCGGGCCCGGCAACGATCCCTGCCCCTCAGTGGCGGGCCTGGGGTGCCTGGACACCGTCCTCCCCGTCCGTGCCGCTGCCAGCCCCGGGCGACACGCGCTGCCCCAGGCTGCCCTCCGCAACAGCCCCGGCGGCGGCTCCCGACGCCTGCAAGGTGCAGGAAAACCAATCTGAGTCACAGTGCGGTCAGCGCGGCCGCGCGCCCCCGGGGCTCGGCCTCCGGTCCCCAGTGCTCGCGCGCGCCCGAGGGCCGCTTTTCAATCGTTTTGGCCGCAGCTTTCAATTGCCTCTCCCCTCCGCCCTCGCCGCCTCCCGGGCGCTGCCACCTGCCGGGCGGCGCCTTTCTCGCCGTCGCCCCGGCTTGGCCCCGCCGTGACCCGGCCGCCTTACCCAGGGGGTCGTGGCGAAGCAAGGCGTGCGTGTAGTCGTTCACCGTCCGCGGGAAGGGGTACAGAGGGCCTCCGAGGCCGCCGGGGCCGTAGGCGGCGGCCAGCGCGGTGGCAGGGTGGTGCGAGAAGGCGGGGTGGATCGGCGTGGGCTCGTACACTGGGGTCCGGTAGGAGGACACGAGGCTGGTGAAGGAGGAGTTGGGGGACGGCAGCGTGGGGGCGGGCGTGGGGGTGGCCGGCCCGCGGCCCAGGATGTCTTCGATGTAGAAGGGCGTCGGGTGCGCGGGCTGCAGCAGCGGGGTGGGCGCGTACAGGGGCACTCCCGCCGCCGCCGGCCCGGGGTGCGGATACTGCATGGCTGCTGCGCTCCGGGCCTCGGAGAGCTGCCAGCCCGCGCCGCGGCGCTACATTTATCGGCGCCCCAGCTCCCGGCGATAGGCTCCGCCGGCCGCGGGGTGGGGCCGCGCTCGCTGGCCCCTTCCTGCCGCCGGGCCCCGTGGCCAATGGCGCGGGCCCCAGGGAGCCGCCTCCCGCCCCTGCCCCTGGCCCGCCCCGCCGGCCGAGCTCCACGCCCCCAGGCTGCTCTGACTCGGGACTCCCGGGACCCTGCGCTTGGCGAGGTGTCCACCGCCGCGGTCGCCCCTGGGCGCTCCTGGCGCCGTGGCCGCGATGCCCTCCCGGAAAGCCCGAGCCGCGCCCGTCGGAAGAGACGCGAGGACCGCAGCTGCCGGGAACGCTGACCCACGCAGCCGCAGCCCAGCCGGGAGCTCGGTCCGGCCCGGTCAGGGTGGGGGTAGCGTGCCCCAGGCGAGGAGCGACCGGATTGGGCGGCGCCGCGGCCCCGACGGGGCTGTGCCTTGGCGGTCCCAGAGACCCTTCCTGGACGTGCGCTCCTCAGAATAACGGGGACTCTGATTGTTGCCCGGGGCTCCTCTTAAACTCACAACTGGAGAGTGCTGGTCGCTTCTAGAGCTGCTCCAGAGAGCAGGAGCTCCGCTCGGAGACGCCAGGTGCTCCAGCTTCGGGCCGTTCCTGCCCGGTTCAGTGGGGATCTCCCAGGCTCATCCGTTTCTCTGGGGTCATGGCAGAAGCTGCTCAGGACTGACCCATGGGCAGGGTCCGATCCCACGGCGCCAGTCAGAGGCTACAAAACCCTTTTGGACACAACCGGGGCTGGCGGTGTCCTTCGTCCTCAGCCCTGGGGGTCATGGCTCCAGACAGCCCGGCCCCTCCGTTTTGCACGTGCTTTCTGTTGAAGCCACGGCGCTGTCCTTTGCAATGCAGCGCGGCCTCCTGTGCAGAGAACCAGTTTCTTGATTGTTGATTGACGCCCCCAGCGGTCGGCACACCTAGAGGTGAGTTGTCTCTGCTGAGGTTCTCCGTTAGTTTGGGAAATAGATTTCTGAGATTTTTTCTTTTGGGTTTTAAACAATTATTATTAAATCTACATCTTTGAACTATTTCTCCAATTGCAGTGGGACCGAAATAGGAAGACCGAACCAAGAGCTGGACTGCCTGAGTTCACGTTTCACTTCGCACATTTTTATTGAGCTAATGCCATGTGCCAGCAGCAAACAAGTCATACAGTGCCCGCCTTCACAGAGACAGGAAGCAAATTTAACACAGTAACATACATGTGCTAGGAAGGAGGCGTGCATAATGAGCTGAAACTTCATGACAAGGGGAAGTCACCTAGCTGGGAGAGGGTCGAGAAGCTGCAAGAAAGAGAAATACTCCCAGGGGACTGAGGTGTGAAAGATAAGTAGGTGATTTATCAGGACTAGGGTAAGGAGTCTCACATCCCAGTCCAGAAGAGACCAGCGTTGTGAGTGTTGTCAGCTAATACAGTTGTGGTCACTTCACCACCCTGAGCTTTTCTCTAAAGGATTTCAGCATCTTTCAGAATCAAACGACAGAAAGAGCTGCAGGCATAGACAAACGCAGTGTCGTATGCTCAACCTAATTCTTATAAAAAACCTGGAGGCAAAAAATATATCTGTCTTTGTGTGTGCCATTTAATTAATTGCCAACAATTAATATTGGCTATCCAAATAACATTGGCTGAAGATAGGGATGAGACTGGAGAGAGAATGTGTATCTTGTGAATATTTCGAAAATTGAACCATGTACGTATGTGATCCATTCATGGTATAATTGAGCCCTCGAATAAGTGGCTGGCTGAGGATCTGAGGGAGAAAAGGTGCAGTAAACTGAGAAACTGTTCCCAGGCAGCATGGGGGACAGACTCCCTTGAGGGGGACTGCATTGGCTAAATGTGAGGAAATTTATGCTGCAGAAATACATTATAGATGCATTGAATGCAACCCTGCATGAGTTCATGGTGATAATACAAAGTGAGAGAAAGAGGTAGAGGCTGGGAAAGCTGGAAAAATGCCAGCTCACAAATGTAAAAAGTTAACAAAATCAGAAAATACAACATTTCGTTCAAGAAAATCATCTTTGGACACCACGACTGATGGGTGAAATGTGGAAGATGAGGAACCTCAGAAGGTTTTAGGGTATCACCCCCATTGATTGGACTTTAGGTTTTAAAAAACATATACAAGACTTATTCAAGGATAATGAGGGAATGTAAGTATGAATGTGTGTTAGGTAAGAATATTAAATTAGTGTTGTTTTAGGTGATGTTGGTATTGTGAGTTATACTGGAAAGTGTGTTATAATTCTTGAGAGATAAAGTAAGGGTGATAGATCGTATGTGCAGCTTACTTTCAAATGGTTCAATATGTACATACATAATACATATTTATGTAGGTGCTCATATATATTCATAAAGAGATTAAATAAACTAAAGCTTTTCTAGGTTTTAAAGTTTTCAACATAAAAGATGGAATAAAGTATGATTTTGAATGTTAAAAATGAAAGCACTGCTTTATTTTTTTGAAGGTAAAAAGTTATCCATTATCTGTCGAGTCTATGTATAATTTTATGTCATAACACCTTGTTCCTGGAATCATTAGCGGAGGGACTTTTGGGAATCCTTGGTCTCGGTGGGTCAACTCCAGTGTCTGCAGATTCCACCAGCCATCATTCTCATTGCATACCTTGCTGGAGAATGTTATTCTGTGTTCTAGGAACAGATACAGGTTCTGGAGACCAAGAAAGGACAGTTATTGTCTAAGGTTCAAATATGCCTTCAAAAGTTATATTTGGTCCTCAAAGCTCAGGACCTTGATGAACTAAACACGTATTTTTCTCAAAATGTTTCTCATTTTGTTTTTCTTCATTTTTGCCCCTTCCACCTAGCAAGTTACTGGAATAGTACTTCCTTTCATTTACTGTCTTTACAGAATTCACCAGCCAGCCTTCATACACTGTCTTCAAGAATACTAGGAGTTGGTAGCACTAATTTATGCTGAGGGTGACAGCCATGAACCAAAAAGACCTAAATCTACAAACATCCACCCAATATTAAAATGTTAGGGAGAGGACCATTAATAACCACTAGTACGAGAGAAATGATCTCTAATTGTTGAATAATCACTAGTAAAGGAAGCATCATTCCTTCCTTTGATGTTACCACAGTCCTGGGAAGTGGACATAGATCTTTAAAAGGCAGTGGTCTGACATTCCAATTCGGCTACATAATCCTCACCAGCAAATTGAAGCACTTAATTCTGTTAAGCTATATAACACTACCTTTCCAAAAGCCAGTCGGCAGACCCGTGCTCACTTTGCTGTAGTTAAAAAAATTACAACCACATTTGTGAATGTCACATTTATTGAACTACATAATTTTTAATATCACTTGTGTGGGTTTTATAGTTTGTTTTATTGTTTTAAAAGTCATTTGGGGCTCTAAAAGAACTAGATTTTTCCAACACTGTCCTTATGATTTTTTTTTCACACAGTCAGAACTAATAAAACAAAACTGTTGTAGCTATTTAATTCAAAATCTCTTGGAGTTTCAATATTTTTTCTCTGCTGGATACTAAAACCAATAAAGCTACATGAGATTTTAATTATATACCAAATTAAACAAGACTCTCTCCAAAAATTTGGCACTATTTATTTTCATCATTGTGCAAAAGGCCAGATTTTGTAAGAAGAAAAGGTAGTTCTCACCTCTAATTTATCAAGTACGAACTTAGGTAAACTTTTTGCACTTGTTTCCAATAATTGTATGTAGAGGTAAAATTCTAAATTAGCTGTAGCTTGCAAGCACAAATGGATTTTGTTATAGCAATTTAGTTCTATTTCTATTTACAAGACCTCTTACCTTTGGCTGCTGGAATAGCAATAATTTTGGGGTTTTGTTTCTTATTTTTATTTTGTAGTACTGGGAATTGAACCCACAGCCTTCACACTGAACTACACTCCCAGGCCTTTATTATTCTTTATTTAGAGACAGGGTCTGGCTAAATTGCCCGGGCAGGATGTGAGCTACCTTACCTCCGAAGAGCTGGGTCTACAGACTTGAGCTACCATACCAAGTGGAAAGACAATAATTTATTAAATCTCATATCAAGTTATTTTGTTTAGTATTTGACACAATTTAATTGGTATTTTAATGTTTTACTGACTTAACAAAATTCTAGTCTGATGAAATGGAAATGTCTCATCCATGGACATCATGAACTGTGGCCAGAGCCCAAAATACAGAGGTGGTAACCAATAATTTCCTTGTCATCTCTTCACCCATGCTTTCCTCATTCCTCAGTTTTATTTGCTTTGTTTTTGTTTATTGGTGCTGTGAATCAAACCCACATCCACGCATGCTAGGCAAGTGCTCTACCAGTGGGCCATACCTCCAACCCCTCCCACATTTCGTGTACTACAGTATGTTACATAGCACTGTGGTGTGGGTGAGTTTTACTGACCGTAGAACCTTAGGTAGGATTTATAATATTTATTTATTCAATATAAAACTGATTAGAAAAAAACTCAATAAGAGAACAAGGACAAAACAGGCATTTCTCCCCAAAGAGCATAGTCAAATGTCCAATAAGCACATGAAAAGATGTTCTAAGCCAGATGTGGTGGCACACACCTGTAATCCCAGCATTAGGAAGGCTGGGGCAGGAGGATCAATGTGAGTTTGAGGGTAGCCTGGGCTACATAGTGGGTTCAAGGCTGACCTGGACTACAGAGCAAGACCCTGTCTCAGGAAAAAAAAAAAAAAAAAGATGTTCAACATCATTAATCATCAGAGAAATGCAAATTAAAACCACAATGATATACCACTTCTTACATGCTAGGATAGCAAAAAGAAAATTTTTAAAGAGTATTATTGAGGATGTGGTGATTTAGAATACTCATACTTTGCTGGTGACAATGTAAAATGAACCAACTGCTTTGAAAAACAAACTGGCAGTTCCTCAAAAGGCTAAACATAGTTACCAGTTCCCATGGAATACTGTAATTCCACTCCTAAATATATACCCAAGAAATGAAAATATG